TGGGCGTGGTGACCCCTCTGGCTTCTGCTCCGCCGCAGGTCACTGCAAGACGTTGCTACGTTGCTGCCCAATTGAGGTCGAGTTTCAGAGGTACCATCGCGATTATAGCGTTCGGCTTCGACTTTGTTCGGCTATCCAAAATTCACCGGACTTGACGCCTCTATCGCTAGAGGCTATAGATAGAGGCGTATAGATAGTCTTCCAGCTGATACGTTGTGTTGACTAGGTGTCCGGTTCTCGCTTCCCCAGGGGACACTAGGGTTCATCAAACATAAACGTGGCAGTGTTTCTCTGCCGCAGGACACAGCAGTTGTGCCCAGATCAGCGACGGTTCAACAGTGCCAAGCGTCGTGTCTAACACTTTAGGAAACAACACTGAAGTCTTGCCTAGCCATTAACATTAACGCATCACCGTGACGCGTCTCCCAACATCGGCACTCGTGCAGTAATCTGGAGAAGAAAACCTTCACTCAAACTGCACGTTATAAAGAAGTGTCTGAGTAGTTCTATGATGACATACATTATCGTAACACTGTGCATAATAGCATATTGCAACTGCTAGTTACATTTTCCGCGATGTTAAATAACATAATTAAATAATATAATTATCATATTTACATCAATTTACAAGGGAAAATAATATATATATATATATATATATATATATAATATATATATATTCGCTTGCATCTATGCCTGCATACCGTGCCTTGAGGTTACGTAAGAAAGATAGAGAAAATTCGTGTTAGAATTATTAATCTTACTTTTTCGGTCATATTTAATAATATATGTCTACAGGAAAGACTGCTACCAAAATATATATATATATATATATCTATATATATATATATATATAAATATATATATATATATATATATATATATATATATATATATATATATATATATATATATATATATGCAGTCTACACTAAGGAAACGAACATAGGAATGTGCCTAAATGCCAAAAGCGACTGCCCAGATAGGCACAAAAGGAGTGTTGTTAACGCATATGTCGACCGTGCTCTCAGCCACAGCTCAGAATGGAAGCAAGTCGACGAAGAACTCTGTAGGGTAAGGCAGGTCCAAGTCAACAACGGCTTCTCCAATGGTTTCGTCGAAGACATCATAAGAAGGAAAGTGAAACGCCATGCAACCTCTGAAGAGACAACCAACACAACACCTATACCCCCTATTAGACTATTTTACAGGAACTTCTTTTCCACAGCTCATAAAACGGAGGAAAGGGTCCTGAAAGATATTGTTAATAGAAACGTTATCCCTACAGACAAAAATCAGAGGATACAACTGACGATTTACTATAAAACCAGAAAAACGGCCAGCCTACTCATGAGAAACTCTCCAGACACAAAACAGAACGCTTTAAGAGAGACTAACGTCGTCTATGCCTTCAAATGCCCTCTTGGGGACTGTAAGCTCCAAAAAAACCAGTATATAGGTAAGACAACAACATCTCTTTCTAGGCGTTTAACGATGCATAAGCAACAGGGCTCCATTAAGGAACATATAATCTCTTCCCACAACCAAACCATCGCCAGAGAAATCCTAGTAAACAACACAGAAATCATCGATAGATACAGCGATAGCAGGCGGCTTGACGTTTGCGAGGCATTACACATCAAGAAGTCAACACCAGCAATCAACAGCCAATTAATGCACAACTATATTCTACCCACCTCAAGACTCCGCTCCAATATAGAAGCATCAAGAAATATGGACCAATAGGCTTTCTACAATCACTTCTATTCAATACCCATTGTTTCATGTTCTGGCTTGTGTTGATGAAATTAATACCTTATTAAATACCACCTCACCCCATCCACCTCACTCAAATGTAGATATAAACAAAATCGGAGATGTGTAAGTTCTATTCAGTTGTGTATGTGTTAACTAAAGTCTTTGAAAATGTAATAAGTTTTACGAAACGCGCTCAAGTGTCGCGTCAGACTAGAAATAAAAATTAATTTTGGAGAATTGATTTTTGAATTACCTCCAACAGTGAAAAGAAATGTACGAAAGATTGAGAAAATTCGTGTTAGAATTATTAATCTTACTTTTTCGGTCATATTTAATAATATATGTCTACAGGAAAGACTGCTACCAAAATATACTAATATATATATATATATATATATATATATATATATATATATATATATATATATATATATATATATATATATATATATATATATATATATAGTATATTTTGGTAGCAGTCTTTCCTGTAGACATATATTATTAAATATGACCGAAAAAGTAAGATTAATAATTCTAACACGAATTTTCTCAATCTTTCGTACATTACGCTTCACTGTTGGAGGTAAATAAAAAATCACTTCTCCAAAATTCATTTTTATTTCTAGTCTGACGCGACACGGGCGCGTTTCGTAAAACTTATTACATTTTCAAAGACTTCACAAATACACAACTGATTAGAACTAACGTATCTCTGCTATTATATCTACATTTGAGTGAGGTGGGAGGGATGATGTGGCATATAATGATGTGGCATTAGGGGATATTAATAGGGTATTAAAAGTATCAACACAAGACAGAACAGAAACAATGGGTATTGAATAGAAGTGTTTGTAGAAAGCCTATTGGTCCATATTTCTTGATGCTTCTATATTGGAGCGGAGTCTTGAGGTGGGTAGAATATAGTTGTGCAATAATTGGCTGTTGATTGCTGGTGTTGACTTCTTGATGTGTATCACCTCACTCAAATGTAGATATAATAGCAGAGATACGTTAGTTCTAATCAGTTGTGTATTTGTGAAGTCTTTGAAAATGTAATAAGTTTTACGAAACGCGCCCGTGTCGCGTCAGACTAGAAATAAAAATGAATTTTGGAGAAGTGATTTTTGATTTACCTCCAACAGTGAAGCGTAATGTACGAAAGATTGAGAAAATTCGTGTTAGAATTATTAATCTTACTTTTTCGGTCATATTTAATAATATATATATATATATATATATATATATATATATATATATATATATATATATATATATATATATATATATATAAAATTATCAGTAAACCAATTTTTTATATCATCACCGAGCAAGAGCCGAAACCCCAAATGTAATACTTGATCCTGCCTCGCAAGAACTTCAATATTTTGTCTACTGAGTAACCTTCCTGCCTGCCTATCCACACACAGTAACCCTCCTGCCTGCCTATCCACACACAGTAACCCTCCTGCCTGCCTATCCACACACAGTAACCCTCCTGCCTGCCTATCCACACACAGTAACCCTCCTGCCTGCCTATCCACACACAGTAACCCTCCTGCCTGCCTATCCACACACAGTAACCCTCCTGCCTGCCTATCCACACACAGTAACCCTCCTGCCTGCCTATCCACACACAGTAACCCTCCTGCCTGCCTATCCACACACAGTAACCCTCCTGCTGCCTGCCTATCCACACACAGTAACCCTCCTGCCTGCCTATCCACACAAAAAATATAATCAGAAAGTAACATAATTATTGTATTCTTAATTTTTTGCATTTTATATCAATATGAAACATTAAAAAACTCATTAAATCCACTCTAGTGCTTGGTCCGCATAAAGCTTCAAAAGTGTCTGTAATCCAGTTTACAAAGAACAACTTTCTGCTTACAGAAATAAAATATATATGCATATTATTTTCAATTTCAGTACATTGGTCACACCTATTGTTGTCCTTAATGCCCAACATCAACAATCTATCATTAGTAGGGAGGGTCTCATGAATATAGCGATACAATAGTTCACGTTGTTTTGGGGCAATAAATTTAACATGAAGATTTGCCCATATTACTCGCCAGTTAAAAAGTGGATATGCCTCCTCTACTCTAGGAACTATATTTGGGAGCAGAACACGTGTTTACTGTTCATCATTAAAAAACCTTTAACATTACAAATCTGCCTGAGTACATCAATTGCACAAGAAGTGAGGTTAAATAAAGGCAAGGTCAATTGATTGGGTGATAAAGATTAAGCCACCCTAAAGGTGGCTTAATCAAATGGTTTACTCAAGACTCCATTGATACACACGCTGCTCCGACACTGTTTATAAAGCATACGGATCCAGTCAATAAATTCTTGTGCTACTCCTGCCCTCTCCAATATTTCTAATACAAACTGAACATCAATACGGTCAAAAACTTTCGATCAGTCGAGGTTTATCATGGAGGAAGGAACATTATTCTCAGACACATAATACACAACATCCCTAATTACAGCATTACAATTGATTACGAATCCTATATCCAGGCACACCACAGAACTGTTCCTTGGATATAATTTTATCCCTTACAAACTTAAGTCTATTCTCCAACAATTTCGAAATTATTTTGTAATCCTGGCTGAGCAAGGAAAGTGACCACCAGTTCGTTAGCATATGCAAATCACCTGTTTTTGGTAGCAGCTAAATAATCCCATGAGATTGTGACATGCTAAGCTTCCAATACTGTAAGCTATACTGCACCACGTGTACAAAGTCTTTACCAATGACATCCCCGTAGATAGAAATAAAATTCCACCGGGAACCCATCACAACCAGGCGATTTATCCTTCTTTAAACTCTTGACCACACTCCACACTTCCTGCTTATCTACATCTACCAACAATGACATGCCGTCACCCTGGGTTAAAACCCGTGTACATTTTCCAATGAAATACTCCTGCATACCTTGGTCTACGTCCATTTTTTTGTACAAAATGTACTTCACCTCGAACATAACAACATACAGTCCCACCCGTATTTGTCATATCCGTCCCATCACCTGCTTTTATACTAGTCACAAGCGCTGTACCCTTGTTATTCTTGATTTTACTTAACAAATATGTAGAGAGTTTTTCATGGGAGTCGCGTCCTAGACTTGGTGGTGGGCGGATCTGTCTGTTGTTGCTCTCGGCTGGTGACTTGGCCGATGAGCCTGTAGCCTCACGTGTGAGGTCAATGTTGAAGTGGTATTTGTGCCATCATGGGCTCCTACACACTTCCACTTAAGTGGAAGGAGTCTGTTGGACTCAAGTTCAGTTGTAACACTGATTATGACCTTATCTGCACAACGATCTTCGATATGCAAGAGATAAAGATTGAGGAATTGCTCGGTTTCCACCCACTTCCAGGAAACAGTGGTGGTGAAATTTGAAAACCGCGTGACGTTTTCTAGAGTTTCTAAAGAATTATGATAATGACCTTATCAGTCTGCTTAATGGAAAAGAATGCAATTGATTAATTTGAGCAAGACGTTTACATGTGTTTCTGAGAGGGATGCGCCCTTTGAAATGTCGAATGGAACTATTACTCACATATTGCAGTGTTGTAGCATTAGGCTACTGCAGCGCCGTAGTAGTAGGCCATTGCCCCATTGTAGACGTGTGAATTGATGTATATTCTGGAAATGTTTCACGATGCTAAAGTTTGTTAGTAAAGTTGTCAATTTTGGTGATACGAAAGGTAATTTGGCTTGTCATAAGAATGCCTGAGCTTTAAATGCTTTAATGTTATTTGTATAATTGAGTATATATATATATATACTCAATTATATATATATATATATATATATATAATAAAATGGGTTTATGAGAAGCAATAAGATGAACTGGTCACACGAACCACGACCAATAATAACGTATCATGCATCAGCAGAGAAGGATCCGGGAAATCGTTAGCATCATGGACCCTCTCCACGGGAACGAACGCTCTTTGGGTGGGCGGTCCTCTCAACGACACCACTGGTGACAACAGAGGTAGGTAAAGGTGGCTGGGTGATCCTCTCAACGACACCACCGGTGACAACAGAGGTAGGTAAAGATGGCTGGGTGATCCTCTCAACGACACCACTGGTGACAACAGAGGTAGGTAAAGGTGGCTGGGTGATCCTCTCAACGACGCCACTGGTGACAACAGAGGTAGGTAAAGATGGCTGGGTGATCCTCTCAACGACACCACTGGCGACAACAGAGGTAGGTAAAGATGGCTGGGTGATCCTCTCAACGACACCACTGGCGACAACAGAGGTAGGTAAAGATGGCTGGGTGATCCTCTCAACGACACCACTGGTGACAACAGAGGTAGGTAAAGGTGACTGGGTGATCCTCTCAACGACGCCACTGGCGACAACAGAGCCAGATATGGTGGGTGACTTACCAACAAGGGTGTGAAAATTGTGCCCCTTACCCACATTGTATCCTTATTTGGGACCCCCAACCACTTGGACTTAACGGTAGAGCGACGGTCTCGTTTCATGCAGGTCTGAGTTCAATCCTCGACCGTCCAAGTGATTGGGCACCATTCCTTCCCTCCCCCCTTTCCATCCCAAATCCTTATCCTAATCCCTTCCAAGTACTATATAGTCGTAACGGCTCGGCGCTTTCTCCTGATAGTTCCCATCCCTTCATCATTTGGGAATTTCATGTATACCCAAGGGGTTCTTGTTTTATCCAGTGAGATCTAAAAATCCGCCTTAAAAACTTTATCTTATTTTGAATACATTATTAAATGTTAACTTGTTTCACTTTGCTTGTTTTAGTAGATACACACAACTACTGTAAGGAATGTGCTTCTAATGTTTCATCTTTGAGAATAAATGCTTATGATCCTGTGTCACTGGGAATAAATGCTTTTGATCCTCCATTATTGGATATCAATGCTTCTGACACATCATCTTTGAAAATCAAACACCAATTTCTGCTGTATATATTAATGTACCTCACATTTCCTGACTGCTAGTCCTAGTGTTAATGTCCTTTTGCAGGAGGTTACGCCTTCCACGAGACGTCCAGCACCCCGGGGCGTCAGGCTCAGCCGGCTGTGATGGAGTCCAACGTGCAGTCGCCCACAGGAGCAGATGGTACGTACTTGCCTTACGCGTGAACATTGTTCGCTGGTAGGAATATGTTCCCTAGGCATTGTAATTTTAGCTCCCCAATCTAATGTTTCTTGATCAAACTACAGTATTTTTCTTTGAAATTATTTCATTTGGCACTATTGTTTTCTCCTGGCAATAGTACATTCTCCTGGCACCACTATGTTCTGGCACCAGTATTCTAATACTACCTTCCGTCTGCTGTTCAGTCCACGCTTCCTCGTACATTCTCTCTCCATATCTGTCCATCTTTTATATTGGCCTTTCCCTATCCTGAAATTCTTTAGAGTACTCTTCACCATTACTTTCACTTACGCATGCACTCCACTAGTCATGCTTCTACAATTCTGTATGATCTTCAGAATGTCCTGCAGTTTACCATCCCCAGCACGTCCAACACGAACCCCCATGGCTCCAGATGTCCTCCCACGCCCTGAAGACACCCATTGATATTATTATACCTCCAGTGTGCATCCCATTACCCCACCCCAATCTGCCTCCCTATTACTTCCACCCCAACATGCCTTCCATTACCCCTCCCCAACCTACCTCCCATAACTGCACCCCAACCTGCGCCTCCGGGTCCACTAACATTCTTCGCCCACCAGGGAAATGCCTCAAGTTCTGGTACTCGGTGAATGGGTTGAGTGCCAACCAGCTGCGGGTTAAAGTACGAGGTGTGGGAGCCACAGAGATGACCACCATCTGGGAGACCAGAGACCAGACCCGAGGAGACTGGAAGGAGGCCCAGGCGCTCTACACCTTCAACGGCAACCATACGGTACGCTGGGTTACCAACATGTTTTCGGTTTTTCACCTTTAAAGATCTACATTTAATTTCCGGATTTGTTAGAAAATAAAATAACTTTACGTTATTTAAGAATTAAATAACTTTAATTCTGTAACATTATTTTGTTTTTGTATTTTGTATTTTCTGTCGATAAGGTGCACTCTTGTAACATGGATTAGAGAGGTGGTGGTGTATCCTATTCTTAATACGAAAAGTGGCTATGCAGTTCTAAATTAGATGGACTAATCGCTAGGCGTTTGAGTAAACTGCATTAAATATTAAACATCCATAGCACGGCCTCAGGTCAGGTCACACACATGCTCATTCATAAGAATGTACCCATATACCAGCAGACACCACAACACGGTAGAATCACCTGTGGTCCTAACACAAATACATTTATATTACGGAATGCTCACAGTGTAAGATCTGTTCCAGCCTAGTTTAAGTTATCAAAGAGGGGTAATTGTACTTCAAAAACTATATATATGATGTACAGGATCCCTTAACCACTCGACTGTAATGCATGTATCCTGTACATCAGATGCACTGCTTCTGGCAGTATGGGTTCGAGTCACTTCTGGGGTGTGAGTTTTCAGTTGCATATATGCCTGGAAACCGTTCAGACTTGTTCGCATTTGTGTTCCTCACGTGTGCCCCAAAGAATGAGGTGATTTGATAAAATACTATGCCCAAGATTACCAACAGAGTGCCGGCGAGGGGATGGGATTTAGCCTTGGCTACCATCCTCTTTTGACTATATAAGTGTCTGCTAGCACTGAAAATACCACCCTTACCAGACTAATACTCAGCCTAGCTCAAAGATATCATATGCATATCAAAACACTACTCACCTTGACAGTCTGGTATACATGAAGACACCACAACACGCTACAAAGATAGCACTACAAAGATAGCACCGATAGGCTCTCGCATCGATCACCAAATGTTCCGCAATTAAGATAGAGAAGTGCTATACATATTATTAATTGGTTATTCTGGGAGATTATGACTATAGGGCAGAGTTAGCTGTACATAATTGAGAAAAAAGCCAACCTGGTTCAGAAGCCTTCATGTTAAGGGTTACTGTTAGACAACAAGAAGGCAAGTCGGTGATATACTGAACAATTGTTAATGAATTTCTTCACAATTGGCTGTCAAAGGTGAGGTTTCATTGATCGCCCAATCACTCTCTTTGCGAAATCGCCTTGCAATATAATGCATTGTATAACTATTTAAATTTGATAGCATTATTAAGAGAGGGTATTAGTAAACCCTGGCCTTTATAAAAGTAATGCTTGTCAACTTAAAACAATCGTAATATATGCACATCTACACTTATATTTATTTTTTGGTCTGGTCTAAGTAGAGCGCTGTACTTCCTGTAAGTTTTGTGGTAGCCGTAATAAATGGCCCGTCCCGCGGTTGATAGGCTGTGAAAATCTTTCCACGACTGATAGGCGTTAGACCGAACACTAAACCAAATACACCAGCTCAGGCGACTATCAGGCTTGCTACAAGAGTGGCTGGATAGGCTGCTGCTTGTAAATCGCGAAAAAAATACGAATTCGTGTTTGATAACAACACATTTCAAATAGGCTTGTTTTAAAATATGAAAAGGATTTGGCAGAAAAAGTATCATTAAAGTAATTCAAATAAATTGCAATATATTTTGCGGAGGCGCCTCATCAATGTAAATACATTTTTTCGATGTGCTGAGAATCTTCTATAAAACAATTTTAATAAATTTCTGCAAACATATTTATATGTTTTAAAATTTTGAAAATATTCATGACTGGAGGTGCAGGTATGTTCTTTCATTACACCTGCAATGAAGTGTTAAGTACATTTTAAATCTCGATTCCTCAGGTTTCTAGATTAAAGGTAACTCAACTCATTTATTCTAATACAAAAAAATTGCGTAAATATGATGCGTTATTATTTAATCACAAGAAATTCAACTTTAATTATTTTTAATTTCGACTGATTTATTGTTTTCCAGCAAATGAGTTTGTGGTTTTACAACAACTCGTCCTTAAATAAACTAACATTCTTTCTCTCCTGTGACAGCTGGTGGTGGAGGCAGTTCCTGCGTCAGGAGTGGACCCATTCCACATCTTCCGTGGACACGTGGCCGTAGACGACCTCGGGGTGCGGCCAGGGTTGGAGTGTATTGGTCTGTGTTCCTTCGAGGGAGGCATGTGTGACTGGAACAACGCTCGCACTGACGATTTTGACTGGAAACTTGTGAGTGGTGTTGGGAGGGTGTGAGAGATATTGGAATGAAAAGTTAAATCTTAATTAATATGTGACAATGTGTGATTGTGTGTAGTTTTAAAATTTACGTGTGAATATTGATCAAACTTTTGCAAAAAAATTACATGGCATTTTGATACAGCTTCGACCGTCCTTACATATTCAATAGTATGAATACAGTGGATAGTGAAATATTTACATGTATATAAGTGTTAGAAGTATGCATAATTTTTGTAAAGCCGCTAGCTAGTACGTTCTGCATTTCTTGCTAGTTCAATTTTTTTCTTTTGGGTAGAGGGGGGGGGGGGAGGGGAGGATGGAATGCAGTTATAGTCTTGGCTCATCGCAGCAAGGTGTCCTCTGCAATGAAGTGTTGCTTCCACAGGGCCGCGGGACCCAGAACCCCATCACAGGGCCTCCGAGGGACCACAGCAGCTCGCAAGGGGACTCGCTAGGAGGCGCCTACGTCTACACCGACTCCGGCTTTCCCCGCAGACCCGACGACATCGCTAGGCTGGAGAGTATAGAGTTCCAGGAAACAGGTGGGTGTCAAGGGAATTATATACTGATTTATGTTAGTTGTGGCTGATATGAACAATCTAAAGTTGCAGAATGTCGTTAAAGAATTAATGTTTAAGAAAATGTATGAAATAAGAACTCAGAAACAACCAATAACAATTCAGTGTGATAAGAAGAGCAAAATGAGATTTTGGTGTATTTAGAACTTTTGTGCTTTTCTGAGTGTAGGCAGATGTAAAGAACTTTCGTACACATTTAAATTGTTAGACTTGTAATAACACGCCACAATATTTACCCCATCAACAGTTCCAATAATTTATCTCTACCACAATCTTTACCCATCATCAGTACCAGTAAATTTACCTCTACCACAATGTATCAACATCCAGAGCTAACCATTACCTCCACCACCCTGTGCTAGGAGGCGTTCAATGTAAGATACCCGCGGGCCAAGTTCCCGGGCAAGTATGTGCTCTGATTTCTTGTGTATTTGCTCTATGACATGCTGTGTGCCCTTCTGGCTGTTTGTTTGCCCTGTTCTATTCTGTGCTTCTGCCTCTCCCTTTGTGCGTAGCTTTGCCGTGTGGCATATTAGTTTCTAGTGCTTGGCGTCACTCGTTTCGCGTTTTGGCTTAGCATTTCGCCTTTCCTGGCTTTGCGATTCGCCCTTCACGGGTACGCCGGGGCGCATCCGATCCCACGATCGTCGTCGCCCCTAACTCAACAACAACAACAACACCCTGTGCTAACCATTACCTCCACCGCAATGTTTCTTCCCCCACCACCAGACCCCAACAACCCGCCGTGTATGCGCTTCTACACCTTCATGTCCGGGAGAGGTGTGGGATCCCTGCGTGTGATTCTTCAGGATGTTGTCTCCAGAAGGGAGCGGGTCCTGTGGGCTCTGGCTGGCAATCAGGGCTCCCAGTGGATCATGGCGCAGCTTCCCCTTTCTTCAAACACTCCCTTTAAAGTAAGTCTCCTCATCACACACAAATATAAATTGTTAAAGTATATTTAACTTGATTATTCGGTATGCAACTTTGGGCTATTCTGTTGTAATTGCTTGAATTCTGAGATTTTCAAAATTGTCTTCCTACCTTCAGTACAATTAAAATTCTTTCTTCTGTTTTCCACTTCAAAAATTAATGCTTTCTGCAGTAAATGTTACTAGCTTATCGATGCTTTACCTTAACTAAACGAACTCATAATAATTTAACTAAACTACAAAATTAAGTTAGCTCATAAGTTTCGAAGATTAGGTCGTTTACAGAGTTCTTTTTCTGCAGGTGGTGTTTGAGGCCAGCATCGGGAAGCCTCGGCTGGGGGACATTGCTTTGGACGACATCACCATCATCTCGGGGCCCTGTGCTAGTCAGTCTCCTCTCTTGGTTAATTGTCACAATGTTTTATGTAGCCTCCCATGTACTAAATGTATAGCCTGTAGTCTCCCACGTACTTAATGTGTATAGCCTGTAGCCTCCCACGTACTCAATGTGAAGCCTCGCTTGTACTAAATATGTAGCTTATAGCCTTGCACTTACTAAATGTACGGCTTGTTACCTCGAACGACCTAAATTTGTATCTTGTTGCCTCGGATGAGCTAAATGTGTAGCTTATAGACTTGTGGTAAGTACATTTCTTGTATGATCTTTTGTAACTTTCAAATTATCACGAATTTCTTACAAGTTTCTTACGAATTTCTGTATTTCTTACAAGCTTGTATGACTATATGTTTCACTTTAAGCTCGTGGGAATTATATATATATATATATATATATATATATATATATATATATATATATATATATATATATATATATATATATATATATATATATATATATATATATATATTAGTATATTTTGGTAGCAGTCTTTCCTGTAGACATATATTATTAAATATGACCGAAAAAGTAAGATTAATAATTCTAACACGAATTTTCTCAATCTTTCGTACATTACGCTTCACTGTTGGAGGTAAATCAAAAATTAATTCTCCAAAATTCATTTTTATTTCTAGTCTGACGCGACACGGGCGCGTTTCGTAAAACTTATTACATTTTCAAAGACTTTAGTTCACAAATACACAACTGAATAGAACTTACGTATCTCCGATTTTATATCTACATCTGAGTGAGGTGGGAGGGGTGATGTGGCATTAACACAAGACAGAACAAGAGGGGATATTAATAGGGTATTAAAAGTATCAACACAAGACAGAACACAAACAATGGGTATTGAATAGAAGTGTTTGTAGAAAGCCTATTGGTCCATATTTCTTGATGCTTCTATATTGGAGCGGAGTCTTGAGGTGGGTAGAATATAGTTGTGACTATATTCTATATTCTACCCACCTCAACTACTATTATCAACTACTATATTCTATATTCTACCCAACTCAACTCACAACTATATTCTACCCACCTCAAGACTCCGCTCCAATATAGAAGCATCAAGAAATATGGACCAATAGGCTTTCTACAAACACTTCTATTCAATACCCATTGTTTGTGTTCTGTCTTGTGTTGATACTTTTAATACCCTATATATATATATATATATATATATATATATATATATATATATATATATACATACATACATACATACATACATACATACATACATACATACATACATACATACATACATACATACATACATACATACATACATACATACACATACACATACACATACACATACACACACACACACACACACACACACACACACACACACACACACACACACACACACACACACACACAGTATATGACACCCTTCTGAGATCCATGCTGGAGAAAGTCCTGAACCTGAACCCCATTGAGTTGGGCGACTCAATGTGAGCAAGCAACCCTCCCTGTAAGATTTGGCGGCCTTCGTGTCCGCACAGCTTCCCAGATAACTCTGCTAGCCTTCCTTTTTTCCCTCACATGCACTGTACGACCTTGTAAGATATATCCTACCAGAACCTCTGAGTGATTAAGCAGGGATACACGATCCTGCTGTCATTTATACAGTCTCCGTGGTGTAGTGGTAAGACACTCGCCTGGCGTTCCGCGAGCGCTATGTCATGGGTTCGTATCCTGGCCGGGGAGGATTTACTGGGCGCAATTCCTTAACTGTAGCCTCTGTTTAACGCAACAGTAAAATGTGTACTTGGATGAAAAAACGATTCTTCGCGGCAGGGGATCGTATTCCAGGGACCTGCCCGAAACGCTACGCGTACTAGTGGCTGTACAAGAATGTAACAACTCTTGTATATATCTCAAAAAAAAAAAAAAAAAAAAAATGTTCAAATCAGTGGGATGCTCTTGCAGCCCCAGCAGCCAACATAGATCCAACACAAAAAACACAAACAGTCCAGCTGGAACCACTCACTAGTGGAAAAATAGCTGATGCCATACTCAGTGCTGCAACATCAGATAAGGAGAAAGCCCGCCTCAGAGCAGTGCTTTCCCCCCATGCAGGGGACTTCCTTCTGGCAGTACCCATGTCGCCAACCGGCAAGTGTCTAGATCCAGAATCCCTTTGTGTAGCAGTGGCCCTCTAACTTGATGCCCCAATTCACACTGAATACAAGTGTATTTGCAACAGGGTGGAAGCAGATCAATATGGACTGCATGGGTTGCACTGTGGAAGCTCCAAGGGCTGGCATGCAAGACACAACGAGGTTACTGACATCATCAAGTCTTGCCTCAACTCAGTGTCTAGCGGAGAGAGAACCTCGCATCCTAGTGGACCAAAACCTAGATGACATCGCACTTCGCCCAGATGACATCACAATATACCCCTGGAAGAGGGGCAGATAGCTGGTGTGGGGCTACACATGTGTATCCACCCTCGCTGACACCTACATACACTTCGGTGCTAATCAAGCAAGAGGGGCGGCCAACCACAGGGAAATAGCAAAATCAGTCATAGCCTAATTGAAAGATCAATACATTTTGTTTCCGTAAGTGTCTGAGACGTTCGGTTCCTGGGGAAGGAGTGCCTTGGGATTTCTCAAAGAATTGGGTTCCAGGCTCGTTGACATCACCAGAGATCCAAGGGCTGCCAGTTTCATATTTCAGTGCCTCAGTGTGGCGATCCAGAGGGGAAACGCCTGCTGCGTCCTCGGTTCCTATCCGGAGGCAGAGGAGCTTCAAGAGATCCACAACCTTTAAATACTCATTGTATTAACCAATGTACATCTTGTAACCTTTAAATATCTAATAAGACACAGGAAAACACAAAAGGAAAGGGGTGGTATATATATATATATATATATATATATATATATATATATATATATATATATATATATATATATATATATATATATATTTATATATATATATATATATATATATATATATATATATATATATATATATATATATATATATATATATATATATATATATATATATATAGTTGCCTAATTCCATAATAACTGCTACCATACAGTTGTAAGTCAACTTCGCTTCGGCACATCTTCAGATTTTGTTTTGGGAATATTATTTTAAATACACTGGGGCACAATAACAATTATTTACTGATGGTTTTTGTTTAAATATTTGCCTAATAAGTGGAGTACTGATAGATTAGTTCTTGTACGTGAATTCATCCTACATCACCCTTAGCGCTGCCGACGGTGGCGTCTCCGCCCACCTCCGGAGACTGTACGTTTGAGGAGGACATGTGTGGCTGGGTCAACCCGAACGTCAGGCAACGCTTAGATGATGTCGACTTCTTGAGAGTGAAGGCTTCTGAATTCGTCTTCCCCACTACCGACCACACCACTGGCAACCAACAAGGTAGGCAACCATTACCACTAACATCCAACAAGGTAGGGTATCACCACCACTAACATCCAGCGAGATTGGCTACCACAACCATCCAGCAAGTTAGGCTACCACCATCACTAGCATCCAGCTTCAACCACCATTAAGTTAAGGGACACCACCACAGGCAACCAACAAGCAAGGTACTGGCTTTAAATTTGTACAAAACAGTATGTAATATTCACGGATGGTATAAATAGCTAATATACATCCTATATTCAGTTCGTCTCCTAAATATAATCCCCCGTCTCTTACTTGGCCAGGTTACTACATGGCGCTGGAGAGCCCAGACAGAAAGTACGAGGGAGATCGCGCCTGGCTCCTCTCCCCAGTGATGAAGGGCCAACGCCAGATTAAATGTCTCTCCTTTTGGTGAGTAGCTGTGACACTAAGCTGTTAAAGCTGTGTCTGTTAACTGTGTGTTTGTATATTTTGAGTTGGGTAGTGTTCTCAATCTAGTCAGCACCACGACCCATTGCCACCATTGCCACCTTAGTCATCACCATCGCTGCAACTTTACTTCTTATAACATACGTGTTTTCCCTCAGGTACTTGATGTTTGAGCCGCTGACCGAGGCGGAGCCCAACCTTGGTTCACTGAGCGCTTTCTTGATGCGTGAAGATGAGCAGAGCTCCATCGTCCTCACCCCCATCTGGTCCCTTCAGAACTTCCAGGGGCTCACATGGTACTTTGGACAAGCTCCCCTCAGAGCTGATGGAGACTTCAAGGTACACTTACAAGAAACATACAAATACAACTTAATTGTTTTGAGAACAAAACCAAGTTTTTTAAGACTGTAATGATTACCCGTTTCTCAGTAGACATGGGGATAATATGGCTCTCTGCTTTCTGTAATTTTCTGCTCTATAACTTTCTGCTTTCTATAATAATAATAATAATAATAATAATAATAATAATAATAATTTATGGGTTGGTGAGATTACATAAGACTGGTATTTTTACATTCATGCAAAGTCACTAACCCGCATAGCGTTTCGGGCAGGTCCTTAATCTAACATATCAGGTAAGGTGAAACGGTACATTGTAGCAAGGTTTTATATCAACAAATAATTACAATATAAGTTGACAGAGGTGATTACATTGGTAAGGATATATGTCTAAAGTACTAATATTGGGGAAGTGGGTAGTACAAGATACAGTGTGAGTTTGAAGTACTGTACAAGGTAGGAAACTATGAGGATGAAATTAGGTACTTTTTGGTTTTACTTTTGAACAGGGCAGGGGTTGGACAATTTTTTAATTCATCAGGGAGTGAGTTCCAAAGACTGTGCCCTTTTATTTGCATGGAGTGTTTGCGCAGATTTAGTCTGAGTCTGGGGTTATCAGAGAGATATTTATTTAAGGTGTGGTGCTCATGGGTTCTATTACACCTATCAAGGAAAATTTTCAGATCAAGATTAGCATTTAGGAACAAGGTGTGCTATACATGGAGATAGCACACGAGAATGTGTGGAGTGAGTGTATGTTTAGCATGTTAAGGGACTTAAAACAGAGGGGCTGTGTGTTGCTTAAAGGCAGAGTTTGTTATAGTTCTAATAGCAGATTTTTGCTGACTGATGATGGGCTTTTAGGTGGTTTATATTTTAAGGAGTGGTAATATTTGTCTTTCCTTAACTAGAAACTGAGTTATTGTCTCATTATTGAATAGAGAATTTATCGGAGAATGAAAGGTTGAAGACTAATAATAAACCTTTGTGCTTATTATTTAATAATTGAAAGAAACATTCTACCTAGAGATAATCCCTCAGGCAATCAAGGGATGTTCTGTAGAGGAAATTGGAACAGGTGCTCACCTCTCACCACGACAACACTTCCGTCGTCAACCATCCACTTCTCACCGTTCTTCTTTTTTCCATACTCCTTCCTGACTAGCGCGGCTGCTTCTTCCTCCACCCTCCCCCCCTTCACGTCGGGGTCAGTGAGAACAATACACACAGAAATCACAATAGCGTGATTCATCAAATATCGTAGCTCAGTCGATTAAGGCAGCGTCTGGGATCCTCTCAGACGTAGTTTCGAACCCTCGTCACGGCCCTTGTGGATTTGTTCAGTGAGAGCACTGTCACACGGGCGGAACCCACCTGCGTTCGCTCCTGCTCATCAGCTTCTGTGCGCTTGACTATTTTCCTTTAGTATTTCCTGGTCACTTTTTCGTTTTCATTATTCACCTGTTCAAGAGTTCACAAGTGTTTATTTTAGGTCCTGTTCAACACGCTACACACGTGTTCAACATGTTACGGGTTGTAAGTAATGTCTTGAACAGAGACGGGAATGGATACTAACGTGTTGAACAGATCCGTGAGAGGTGAATGTCTGTCAAAATTTATTGCGAGTACTAATTTCCTCTACAGAACAGCCCGTGATTGCCTGTTGGATTATCTCTAGGTAGGATATTTCTTTCAATTACTAAATAATAAGCACAAAGGTTTATTATTATTAGTCTTTAACCTTTCATTCTCCGATAAATCCTTTTTATTCAATAATACGACAATAAATAAATTTCCGACCAAGGAAAGACATATATTACCCGGCCTTCATAAACATTACTGGGTGTTAAAGAGGTCGGTATAACGGGAGTTACAAGGAGAAAGGAAACGAGCGCAACATTTTCCTTCCTGTCCGGGAATCGAACCCGGGACCTTTCAGTTGTGAACCGCTTGTGCTATCTTTTATAAAAGGATAACTGTTAAGTTTTTCTGTTTTACTCAGAAAGTATCAGTTTAATTTTTTGTTTAGCGTCGTGGAATGTGAAATTTACCGTAGTCTAATTTTGTCAGTGCTCAAAGAAACGCAGTTGAAAAGAAAAGGACATTAGTAACTGTTGTGACTTGTAAAGTTACAAGGATTGAGTGGGGGTTAGGTGGTTATAAAGTTTGAGTGGGATTGGGTGGTTATAAATAGGAGCTGCCTCATATGGGCCAATAGGCCTTCTGAAGTTACCTTTGTCCTTATGTTCTTATGTAAATATGGAGGTTATAATTTGATCAGTAAATAATAAATAATCACTAATTTGATCACTAACTTAAATGAAAACAATTATGATTACATATTAGAGCAATATTTTGACAGATATTATCTTGCTTTAAGCTAAATAAATTTTCATCTTATGGTTTTTATTTATTCAAATAATTTGTGGTGTGCTTTCGTGATCTTTTAGGTTGTGTTTGAAGGCGTGTGGGGCGCCGCCAACAGCTCAGGAACCATCGCTATCGATGACATCAGTATATTTGAAGGAAACTGTCCCAGTACGTTGTAGCGATTTAAGAATTCTCAAACCTTTAGTTTTATCAATAAAAGTGTTTGTCTGACTGGAGGACATATGCGCCTGGGGATGGAAAGGAAACTATCAGAAGAAAGCACCAAGCCATTACGACTATATAGCACTTGGAATGGGTCAGGATAAGGATTTGGAATGGGACTGAAAGTTTATAAATATAGTAATATTTATAAAGGGTTATATACTTGGTTTAGCTTTAAGTAACGGCTTATAATTGTATATTAATAATTATAATTAATTATCACATACGTATGGCATAATTACACAAAAAAACCTTAGTATAGTATAATTACTAGTTGCCTCATGATTATGCTGCAATTACTTAGGCTTTCTATAAACCATAAGTACTATTGAATTGTATGTGTGCCATAACTACCTCTTGTGAATACTATATTAATAATTACCCCTTATGTACGTCCTAAAGACTTATTAATTACTCGTATTTACCAATAATTAGTAATTAATCGGCCCGTGTACGTTGCACAATAGGCATCCCAGACGCAGCGGTGGTGCGTGCAGGAGACTGTACCTTCACCAGGGGCTCCTGTGGCTGGAGGAACCTCACCTCTGATTCAGACTTCAACTGGAGTAACGCCTCACCCATTCGTCGACCCATCAATATGAGAGACCATACTTATGGGTCTCCAGGTCGGGTTCATGTCTTCACTTTCATGTGGATTTTCATCCATTGTAATAAGATTTTGGCAGAATAATTTAATTTTGTTTTTATATTGTTATTATTTGTTTTGGGAAATAAAAAAAATGCATGGTGTTTTTCATGTACGTTTCGTGAAATGCGTTGTCTATTCAGAAGACAAATTTTAAGAAAATACTAAGAATAAATTAATCTGCAGAAGGCTTATTGGCCCATACGAAGCGGCTGCTATTCATATCAACCCAAACTAATTTATATACAGTATATATATCTATCCTACGCTGAAGCAATACATTTATTTTGTGTCAAACCATTAATTTTATTATGTTTTCCTCACACAGTTGGGTATATCTACTTCGACGTCTTCAACCTCAACTCACGATCTCAGCGGCTGCAGTTGGTCTCCCCAGTGATGGAGCCCGCGGCTGACCGCTCCCCCTTCTGCTTCACCTTCTGGTTCGCAGGTTTTGGAGCCGACAACAACACTACCCTCAAGCTCTACCAGCGACCCGCGCAGAGCGACCTCACCCGGCTTATAAACGATCTCACAGATGATATTTTAGTAAGTCGTTGTTACAGGGGGAAAGTGTTCCAGCCCCGCTCCTGTGCCAGGTAAGTCCACTACGGGCTCACCATAGCCCGTGCTACCTGGAACTTTTTGTTCCCAGTACAGTAGCTGAATCTATAACAACAAGTTACAGGGGGGGAGGGTAAGAATGCAGACGATGAGTCACAATAACCTAGCTGAAGATATGATCAAACCACTCACCATGAAAACAAAAAATTAAATCTTCATCCTCTGGTGTGTGGTTTGGTAATCAAGGGGAGGAATAATTTGATGATTTAAAAACTTACATTATGTAGATAATGGAATTAATGTGTGCTGTATCATGGCTAAGAAGTTATGGAAGTGTCGCTAAGTGTTTGACGTGTCGTGTGCTGCTTAAGGAAATACGTTGTGTACTTTTCATTATAAACAAATTGTCCCCACACTTAATACATCGCATTTTGACGCTATCGATACACAGCGGCAAAATTCTGGAGAGTTAGTGAAAGTTAAGGACCGTAATATTGACACTTCTTCGAACTAATGAGCATCGAGGAGTTCGCCTAGGTTTGTATACTTATGGCTAGGAAAAAAAAGTTTAATGCCTTTTTTTAACATCCAGCTTAGACGGCAGACGTGTCATTATATTCCATTCTAGCGGGGTAGGCAAGGCTGTGTACGAGGCAGAATGTATTTTCCATAATTAATCTAGATCTCATAGATTAATTCATTATCCTATAACCGGTTTAAGTTAGTCGGATCACAAGCAAAGGTCCCGGGTTCCACTCCCTGGACCACTTATAATGAGAATCAATCTGCCATTATTATTGCATACAAATAATAGATCAACACAGCACAGGTCCACAATCGAATATATCAACAAGTACATTCTTCTTCCTGAACAATATGTTGCATCTTAGTTCATAATATCAGGGCAAGTCAGGCCAGAGTTCGCGATTTAATCTTATTATAAGTCTTAAATAGAAGTAGTTAGGACGCAGGAAAACATCACAGCCTCGCCTAAGTTACCAGTGTTTACTCCTGATCTGCTATAAGAAACGGTAATCATCTACAAGCATTCCAAATTCATATCAATATAATCTAAGCAATATAACAAATGTTGCTTTATACAGGTCACATAATGTCTTCGTGGTCCTGTCTTGAACCACACCATCTTTCCCTAATCTAAGGAACGTAGTTTGGTTGCAGACTAGTTGAAATGAGATGTTCTACAACAAATATATTTTGTTTACCTCTGAGCTGCGTGCCACTGTAAATTTGTTTCAATTGAATGAATGTATTATCAAGGTTAATGGCTACCAAATATAGCCATGTGTCTAGAAATGAATCTGTGCTCAAGAGTTTGGACCAAATGAATTTCCCGAACGTATTATCAACTCGTGCCATTATTTCACTGTCTCCAGGTCTGGAACTTCATGCTACAGAGTACCCAGAGGACCGTTGGATGGCAGTTTGCTCAGGTAGCCCTTTTGTCCGGAACCCGCTTTCAGATAGTCATAGAAGGGAGCTCTTACAATGGTGGCTACACACTGGATGACTTCAAGGTGTACAGTGGAGCTTGTGCCAGTAAGTTACACTTTATATATATTCAATGACTGTCTATAGTAATGATTTAATATTAAAGCTTAGAGTGCTATATATCAAACCTTTGATAAACACACACACGAAACAAGGGAAATGAGGTAGTAATAAGATATTTTTTTTCACTAAACACGAGGAACAGTAGCTATAGGTATTCTTGATAATTACATACAGTTGAATTGTTAGTCCTGACATATTTATCAATACACAGCTGCCAGACTACTAAATAAAATCTTGATCTAAACTTCCCAATGATAAATCCACTTGTAATTCATAATCAGTATGAAAATTACCTCGGCTGAAGACATTGAAAAACTTCAAGCTGATATTAATCAAGTTTTCGACTGGGCATCAGAAAATAACATGATGTTTAATAGTGATAAATACTAGGTACTCAGGTACTGTAAAAATGAGGACCTTAAACATAATACAGGGTACAAAACACAATCGAATCTGCCCATAGTAGGAAAACAGCATGTCAAGGATTTGGGAATATTGATATCTGACGACCTAACGTTTAGGGAGCATAACCAAGCAAATACTGCATCAGCCAGAAAAATGATCGGATGGATTACGAGAACTTTCAAATCCAGAGATCCCATCACAATGGTTGTACTCTTGGTTGTACTCAATGGTTGTACTCTTGGTTGTACTCAATGGTTGTACTCAAGCCACTTGTGTTGTCCAGTCTTGAGTACTGCTCAGTACTCACTTCCCCCTTCAGAGCAGGAGAGATTGCTGAAATAGAGGGAATACAGAGAACATATACGGCACGCATAGACGGGATAAAGCACCTAAATTATTGGGATCGTCTCAAAGCCCTCCAAATGTACTCACTAGAAAGGAGACGAGAGATATCAAATAATATACACATGGAAGATACTGGAGGGCCAAGTACCAAATCTCCACAGTAAAATAACAACGTACTGGAGTGAACGACATGGAAGAAAATGCAGAATAGAACCAGTGAAGAGCAGGGGTGCCATAGGCACAATCAGAGAACACTGTATAAACATCAGAGGACCGCGGTTGTTCAACACCCTCCCAACGAGCATAAGAAATATTGCCGGAACAACCGTGGACATCTTCAAGAGGAAACTAGATTGTTTCCTGCAAGGAGTACCGGACCAACCGGGCTGTGATGGATATGTGGGTCTGCGGGCCGCTGCAAGCAACAGCCTGGTGGACCAAACTCTCACAAGTCGAGCCTGACCTCAGGCCGGGCTTGGGGAGTAGAAGAACTCCCAGAACCCCATCAACCAGGTATCAGTCAACCAGGTAATTACCTCAATCGTATAATTAACTCAGATTACCAATGTGGCTATTTCCTTGTGAGGTCTCGAGCAAGGACTAGGTTACTCACCCTTTCTTAGTTTAGTAAGAAACTAATGTGTTTACACCTGAACACGGATCTGATCGTTACCATGTGCTGCAACTCTCTAAACTTACTCTTTTTACATTTTACTCTTCTTTTTTTCCAGGAAGGCCGAGAGAAGTGACAGCTATTGAACGAACATAGAAACTGAGCCTACTTAAGGTGGTTATAAATCAAATTTACATGCTAAACTGTAGATACAATAGTTGATATCAAAACAAGCATGTGTTATACAACTCACAAGTATCTCCTGTATTTTACCAGTTTATCGCACTCGTGCTGTAATATATTCACAGTTTATGATTAACTAAACATTTTGGAATTCATGTCTTGGAAGAAAGATGTTTAAACCAGTTTAAACACATGATAGTTCAGTAAGGAAGATCATTTACGTATATCAGAGATAAGATAGGTCCGAGTACAGACCCTGTGGGACTCTGCTGTAGACAGCACACCATTCTGAGGTCTCATCCCTCACAGTAACTCTCCACTTCCTATTGCTTAGGTGCTCCCTTAACCACTGGAGCACTTTACATGTTACTCTTGCCTATTTCTCCAACTTATGCACCAGCCTTTAATGGGGTACTGTCAATGGATTTCTGATAATCCAAGAAAATGGAGTTTGCCCCCCCCCCTTTCTCTTTCTTGCTTAATCTTTGTCACCTGGTCATAGAAGTCTTTTAAATGTAGAGGCAAGATTTGCCATCCCTGAACCCATGTAGGTGGTGTCATGAAGTCCCTTCTCTCCAGATGTGCTACTAAGTTTTCTCTCACGATCTTCTCAATCACCCTGCATGGTATACAAGTTAGGGACACTTGCGTGTAGTTCAGTGCCTTTTGCCTGTCACCCTTTTTGTATACATCCTGTATTGGGACCATATTAGTGGTGTTTCATATTTATGGTAGGGCTCCTGTTTCCAGTGACAGTATACACCATGGAGAGTGACAAGCATAGAGCTTCAACACACTCCTTTAGTATCCATGGTGAGATTCTGTTTGGTCCAACAGCATTTCTCACATCCAGATTCAACAGATACCCCTAACCTCATCTCTGGTAATTTCCAAGTCTTCCAAAACTGCCTGGTTTATTGCCATCTCTCATAATGCAGGAACTTCTGTAAAAACTGTATTGTAAAAACTGGAATCTCTTGTTGAGTTCTTCACACACCACCTTGTCATTTTCTGTATACCTGTCCTCAGTTTCATTACCTGTTCTTTCAGTTGTTTTCCTCCTGATGTGACTGTGGAGCAGTTTTGGTTCACTCTTGGCTTTATTTGCTGTCATTTTCATACAGTCTCTCTGCTTCTCTTCTAACACTGAGGCACTCATTCCTGGCCCTCTGGTATCTATCTCCCTCTGCTCTCTGGCGTTCTCTTCTCTCTGTAGTCCTGCCAGGTCCTTGTATTTTCTGGCCGTTTAACGCTATGTGTGTTAGTGGCTTTGCAAGAATGTAAAAATACCAATAAAATGTAATCTCACAAACCCATTGTACCTTCTTGTAAATAAATCATTATTATTATTTTTATTATTTAACTGTCTTGCTTCCTTGCATGCACGATTTAACCATGGATTCTATTTTTGCTTTTAATTTTTTTAATTTTGTTCCAGGATAAACTTGTTTACTACCTCCTGACACTTTTCGGTAATATAATCCATCATATTTTGTACAGACTTTACTCCGAGTTCTGTTTCTCATGGTATTTCTATTAGAAATTTTCTTTTCATCCTCATCCATAATATTACCTTTCAGTATTACCTGCCAGCCAGGTAGTTAGATATGCCAGCCCTTTGATGACTGTCAAAACATTGGGAAAGCAAGATTTTTTTATCATCCTCCCCTCATGGGTTTTGTCTTGTCATCCTTTACACCCCCTTATAGTACTCAAAATCTCCACTCTTTCAAACTAATAGCTGATAACAAGTCATATTGGCATGAAAAATTGTTTTTCATCCTGCTGATGGAGGTGCTCCCAGCTGGCTCCATGGCTCTTGCTGCATTTGGGCCTTGACCCAGCTTTGCCTTTAGCTCTTCCTTCTTCCTAGGGACATCTCTAATGTCCTCTGTGGTTACTGATTTGTCGCTTGGTGGGCCCACCTTCCAAGTTTATGACAGTACCTTTATAGTATTTGTCCTTTCGAACAGTACATTGCATTTTAACATAAATCTCCAACAGTAAAAATATAATGTACAATACTATAAATCAGTGTGGCTTGCAAAATTGATGAACTGTTATGTTTTCTATTCGTGGGTCCTCAGTTAAGTTAGGTTCGGGCAATTTAGTACATCATTTTTGTGATGTGACAACTTATTAATATCTTTAGGCTTGTTGACAGTGTTTTAGTAGTAGCTTATCATTGGTCCACAATTCTTTTTTTTTCACTCTTAGAGCCCATATTAGTGATACCTTCTTCTCAGAGAGGATGGCCTGCTTATGCTCCCTTTGATCACTTCTGGTGGAGTGCAACATCATAATTACTTTGCTTCACCCCATATCCTTGCATTCACCAACATTTCAGGATTTGTTTGATCCACTTATATGGACAAAATACTTTCACCTTGTCTTCTAATGTCCCCTTATGGTTTTCACCAACATCATCTTCAGCTGACTGATTTGACTTGTTACCTTCTATCCAAATTGGTCTGATGTATGCACAGTTGATGCTCCCACAAGAGATTCATGTAGCAGACTGTCTAGCTGCCCTCTCATGCAGCTAAACTGTTGGGTCTCGAAGAATATAAATTTGAATGCCAGTTTTGGTACTAGCATGCTCTCATCTCATTTGTAACTAGGGCAGAGGTCCTTGTGATTGCCACAGAGACATCAAGGCCATATTAAGTTCCAGAGCCATTCAATCTATAGATTGATACATTCACACAGCCCCTAGCAGTCTCCCTTCATATTGTAAAGATCACTTTCAATTGTCTTGATAGTCATGTCCTCCCTTAATTAGTAATCCTTGGATGTGCCAGCTGGTGTACCATGCAGCAATACATACCTTCTCCATGCCTGTGCAATATATTCTGGAACGTTGAACATGGAGCTTCAACTTGTAACGGAGTGTTCTTTCGCTCTTTATGTGGAGAATCTGGCTATACTAATTCTAAATGTTTTTCCCTGTTCACTATATTCATTGTGGTGATGCCCATCCCCCCTTTTCTTGGTCATATATTCACTTAAATTCGAACAAGCCATCATCAACCTGAGTATAGGGACCATGTATCCTCTCCTGAGGTGTGATATCAGATATAACATTGATGTTTTAGCCTTTTCTCCAACATGAGTTATGCTTGTGCAGCATGTCAGGACCCTCTGTCACACTCCCCTTATTGATACCTACACTTCAAGAACAGTTTTGAGATACTGGATCCTGAAGCCTCCACTAGTATGTCTTCCTCTCATGCCCCCATTGCAGTTCGATTCCAGGAATATTCCTCTTTTCTCATTCCCATGCTCCTGTCCTTTCTTCCCAGCCTTTTTCTGTCCTCCCTCCTTGTGTGATTTTGCCTTGTGATTCCCAGCCTCTTCACTCTTCTGTAGCTAATGCACACCCCCTCATGCCTCGTTCTCCACTTCCAGCCAACCCTCTGTCTTTTGGCCCTCCTTATACAATGATCATTCAAGCCTATGTCCATCCTCATGCTTCCTCTTTGCCTATGACTGGTAGAAATCATACTGTACATAGTGTCTACTGCTCCCTACTTTGCTAGGCTTCCATTTTCCAACCAAAACCAAAAGCCTAAAAACTCCCCCTCTTTCTACCACCCAAAGAGTAAGATGGCCTGAGTCTTGATGTTCATCTCCCTGACTTCATATCGTGTCTCCTCCTGTCCCTGTGCTGGAGACAACTGCTGATGTTCATATTTCTCCAAGTAGTGCCACCCTTTCTCCAGAGTCCCCTGCCATTTCTGTTCATAGCCCAGCTTGCTATAATGTTCTAAGCTGCTGCCACCTTCCTCTTATACCCTATCTGTCTACCTGTGCACTCTACCTTGCCCCTTTGAACCTGTTTTTCTTTAATCAATGTGGCTCCCCCCCCCCACCCCCACACCCCCCAATTCCTGATCTTGTTTTTGAAACACTTCAGGATTGTGTATGTCTACCTTGCATCTGACTTTGCTTTCCAACAAATGGTGTATATTTTAGGTACTGTAACAGTAAATGCTGTGCTAGAAAACATGTACTTGCATAAATTAATTATTGTATTGATAAACATGGATATTTGGGGATTATATTTTCCAGGAATTATAAATTAAAAACAAATATTTCATAATTTCATTATAAAATGTTAGTACTGTACAATACATTATTTATATATATATATATATATATATATATATATATATATATATATATATATAATGTCGTACCTAGTAGCCAGAACGCACTTCTCTGCCTACTATGCAAGGCCCGATTTGCCTAATAAGCCTAGTTTTCATGAATTAATTGTTTTTCGACTACCTAACCTAACCTAACCTAACCTCTTCGGGGCCACCTAACCTAACCTAACCTATTAAGATAGGTTAGGTTAGGTTAGGTAGGGTTTGTTAGGTTCGGTCATATATCTACGTTAATTTTAACTCCAATAAAAAAAAAATGATCTCATACATAATGAAATGGGTAGCTTTATCATTTCATAAGAAAAAAATTTGAGAAATTATATTAATTCAGGAAAACTTGGCTTATTAGGCAAATCGGGCCTTGCATTGTAGGCTGAGAAGTGCGTTCTGGCTACTAGGTACGACATATATATATATATATATATATATATATATATATATATATATATATATATATATATATATATATATATATATATATATATATATATATATATATATATATATATATATATATATATATTATATATATATATATATTTATATATATATATTTATTTATATATATATATTTATATATATATATATATATATATATATATTTATATATATATATTTATATATATATTTTATATATATATATTTATATATATATTTATATATATATATATATATATAATATATATTTATATACACACACACACACACACACACACACACACACTGAATATGGAAAGAAGATCCGCTCATTAGCCCAAAATGTAAACAGAAATTCTGTATAGATATACTGTACAGTACTATATTTCACTTCATCAGCTTCCCCGCTCAGTTAAAGAGATACGTCAAGAAGACAATTACCAAGCCATGAACTCACTTAAAACTTTAAAGTGAATGTAAATAAATAAACAAATTGAACCCATCATAATCTTATACACTTATGATCAAATAAATTTTGTCCTTGACAGAATGGAAGGAAACAAAATAATTTTGACTCCACCTAGAAATGCACTGCAAATTTTCTAAAACAAAAGA